AGTTGTCATTCAAAGTGCTCAAACATGTTCTTGGAATTTGAAAATCGATCCTATTGCAGTGTAAAGGGGCAGAAACCTGCTTCAAACTGGTGTAAAAAGTATTTGTTTAAATTGATCTGCTGCTGGACAGCTTTACATATTGGGAAGAGGTGCCAAGTTCAGTAATTTGGAGAGTCTATGATCTAAAACATGTAGGGGAGATAATAAAAGATAATAGTTGACAAATACACAGATAGTCTTGGTAACAGCTTAGTTATTGATGCGTATGGAGATAATACAACGTCCAGTCGTTTCTCTTAAAAAGCTGATGGTCTCATCTAAATAAGGCTCTCGTTGGTGCTTAGCTGTTTATTTCCCAACAATCCTGTGATCCTCCTCCATATTGTTTTTCTTTCTTTTAGTGCTTACCGCATTGCCTGCGCTCGCCGTGGCTCCTCAACCCATCCAAGCCAAAGTAGCGGTGGCCTCAGCGGCGTCCTCTCCATCTGCAACCCTTGTTGCGGGACTGGAGGTGGCGCCTGTCGGGGGTGGATGTCAGACGGCGGGCGAGGGAGAGAAGAACACCTGGGTTTACCTGGAGGAGATGGCGAACACGCTGCTGAACAACGTGCAGCAGCTGAAGGCTCTGATAGAACAGGCCAAAAGCTCTGCTGGAGATACGGGAGGGATCAAAGGTCAGGGAGGCCGAAAAGAGGTGAGGCCAAGAACTGAACCAGACCCAAAGAAGTAGATGGAAAGCAGAAAGTGTTACATTCACAACCTGAGATATTTTTTATTTGGATTCTATGTGATGACAAAAGTATAAATAAAAAAAAAAATAAAAAAAAATATATATATAAATAAAAAAAATTAAGTGATTAAATTAAGAGAATTTTGTATAGTTTTTATATATATGTGTGTGTATAAATATATATAAGATTGTATTTATGAGGATATTGGTCACAGTTGGTGGGATAACAAATGAAACTCAATGGAAAAGCTGTTAGAGGTTGTGAAAAAGCAGTTCCCTTTAAGAAGGGCATCAAATAGAGGATTAGATCCAGGCTCACTTATACATTAGAAAGTAGTTAATTAGATTTTAATAAAATCTTCTGTTTTGCCTAACTGTAATGGTGCCCTGTTTAAGGTTTTATTTTTTTTAAGTTTTAAACCCAAGTATTACTTTTGAAGTGGTTTTAATCTGATGACATATAAAAGTCTTAAGGGTTGATAATAACTTAGCACAATAATGGGTGGTAATTTTTTAATAAAGTTTGTACGATAAAGCGGTATAATTGTCTGAATATGTGTGTTTTGGTCTTTAGTGCAGCCTTAGTGCACCGTTTCAGAACCAGATCTCGTTTCATCATGCGGATGATTCAGAGACCAAAAGGAACTCCGACCTCACAGAGATCATCATGAACGTAAGCAAAGCTAACTTTCTAAGCTAACTAAATTGGCAAGGAATACCTTCAGTACTTCACCCGACAAAACGTACTCCCAGCAGCCTGAACATTTTCTTCTCTGGATTTACAGGAGATGTGTGTGAACTGTGGTCGGGAGGCAATAAGCGAGTGTACTGGCTGTCACAAAGTCAATTATTGCTCCACGTTCTGTCAGAGGAAGGTGAGTTTCACATGAACACTGTTAAATAAATGATGTAAATATATTTTTAATCCAATAATGCCTTTTCCAAAATACTCAGAGATCAAAAACACAACAAAGCATAGACAGATCTTATGAAATCATACAAAAATAATAAAAAAAAATCAGTATAAATGTCTGAGAAGGATTAGAGTATTCATTAAACTGAAGCAATTACTGATAGAAAAGTAAAAGGTGACCTGTTAATATTGCTATCACTAATATTAATAGCATTAATGTACACAAGTTGCATCAGTATATTTATAGAAAACTTTCTTTATTTTTCATGCATTCAGGACTGGAAGGATCATCAGCATGTATGCCTGCAATCATCGGGCGGCTTAGCTGTTCAAGAGGAGGAGCAATTGCAGGCTATGGACATGGACAAAGTGAAATGAGGTGGATGATGCAAGAAAGAAGTTTTTACTATGGATGAAATACTCTAAAATCACATTTTTACTGTACAGCAGCCCCTAGTGTCTGTGAGAGGAACTACATTTAAACAAAGTAGAAGATTTAAGATCAGCAGATCACTATAGTTTAGTGGCGCTCAGTAATTATACCAACATGATGATGGTATAGTTGGTAAGTTCAACTATAAATATTTATTTTTAGCAGCAGCTCTGCTAAATATATCATGAAGCATCAGTCAAGGATATGTGATTCTAGATATGGTAAGTTACTGTGACCTTGCTCTTAAAAGATAAAAGCACTTATCTTGTATAAGAGTCAACCTCCGTGCCAGGTTAGTGTTTTGTGTTTTTTTTGCTTTCTGTTCTTATTCCTATAATGTTTTTTATAGTATTATGATGAAAAAGTTTCAGTTTACGTCCTGTTTTTTTTTTTGTGCCAATTTTCTATGACAGAAATAAAGGCAAATCACTGCAATTTGTTGTGTTTGTCAAATGATTTCAGGATCTGCCTCTTTGTGTAACTCCAGATCAGCTTCCATCAGTAAAAGAACCTGATGCTCATGTGTTAGCGAATGTCGAGTGGTATTCAGGGACCTATCAGGGCTATAGGGTTGTATTTTTAGATTTATTCTGAAACAATAGCAGCATAACTATATGTACAATAGAAACAGC